GGTACATATTCATTGATTTAAGGAACCTTCTGTTAAAATAATGGTCGGTTCCTTTTCATGCACAGGTTCTGTAACTTTCTAAGAAGGCATGTATGCTTTACCAAGCTTGTAAAAAATTATAGCATCCTCCACCAGAGGGCAGTCTGCTCAGTAGATTTGAACACACCTCGACCTAACATTCAGGAATATAATTGAGGGTAATTCTTTACTAGAGAAATAAATTATGAAATTACCTTCCCTGTTTTCTCCACAACAAGAGGATAGTACAGATCCACTGTCTAATCTAACAGATGACAAATTAAGGCATGAGAGAACCATCTCAATTATTTGAAGTTTCATTCGAAAAGTAATGATTTAGACAAATTGGGTCACAAAAAATGAGGTTACTTATGATACAATTGAAATAGTAAGACTGTTTATGAAGTCTTGAATATGCAGTTTCCAAGACTGATAATCCAACAGTACATACTAATACAACTAAAGGACAGCAGCTGCAGATTGGTATTGGTTTATAATACATAACAGCATTACAAACATGTAAGAAAGTCTATTATGCTTCAGTATAGCAATACAATAATAACAACAAAGTCCTCTGAACAACTGTGTGATGAATGACCAATTTATCTGGAGGATTGCTGGCCAGAACATCAGGAGAAACTTATTTGAAACCTTAAGAAACAAAGATATCCTTATCCACCAAAACAGAGATAGGTCCTCGGTTTAGCATCTGATCCTGGTTGTTGTTGTTGTTGTCAATAAAGCAATCCCTTTTTGTCACAAGAGAAAATCAAACTCCTTATTTTCCAGGGAAATTACCAATATGGTCACATTATTTAAAATTTAAAGGGGCAGTATCTCATGAAAAGGTGTTCACAAATCAATTGTTTGGGTTAAATTAAATGTTAAAAAAGTCATGTAGGATTTTCATCACAAGAATGCCATGTACAAGAGCGATGAAGATTTGTGTTGAACACATTCGTGTTCGAATTCCTTCACTCTCTGGCACTTCCCTCCCTCTCTAACCTCCTCACTCCCCAATCCGCCATCTGCCGCCTCCGCTCGACTGGCACCGACCTCCTGCTCGTCCCTCACACCCTCCGCCCCACCATCGGAGGTCGCGATTTCAGCCACTATGCCCCGAAATTCTGGAACACTCTCCCTCAATCCCTAAGCCTTGCCCCCTCTCTAATTTTTCAAGTCCCGCCTGGAAACCTTCCTGTTCGACTGCTTACGACCACCTCCCCACCCCCATCCGCTGGCTCAGAGTCAGCCTTCAGCACTGTGAGACGCTACTCTGCGTGGAGAGCATTATATAAGTGCAAGCTTTTGTTGAAGGTGCATTTGAAGCAATATATCACTGAGTTTGTATGTGAATAAATTAAAAACATGATTTGCCAAACATTTTTCGTGACATCAATCCTCCACTAACCCCCCTTTTGTTTGAGCTGCAGAAGATTGTGGAGTCCTGTAGCTCAGTGGTTAGAGCACTCGCTTTGCAAACGAGCCACCTGAGTTCAATTCCAGGCAGAGCGAAACCTTGGGCAAGTTTCCTTACTCCACACAGAGCCTAATAATAATCCCTCCAAAACAAAACAATAATAAATTGGTCATTTTCAATCCATGACTGTTTGTGGGACATTGCTGTGCGCAATTGGCTGCCACATTTCGCCCACAAATATACAGTCAATTCACTTTACAGTCTATTCTGTGAAGCGCTTTGAGACGTCGAGAAGACGTGAAAAAGCGCTATATCAAATGCAAGGATTATTATTATCATTATTATAAGATTAAGGTTGCAAAACGCAATTTTAGGACAGTTATCAGGAAGCATTTTTTTACCCAAAATTAATTAACTACTGGAACAGGTTACCAAAAAGGGTGGCTGATGCTCGGCCATTGGACTAATTAAAAAACAAGCTTAATGCTGTAATGAGAAGACACTTGGGCAGGTATTCTGGAAGGATGAATTCAAATAGGCAGAGGGCCTTCTTTATCCAAACCTCTCCTGTGATATAATATCCTTTTAAATTATGTAATCGACTCATCTTCAATAGCCACTTATACTAACAGGTAGTAGATTGGTTCAATTGGTAGTACTTTTGCTTCTGGGTTGGAATGTTGTGGGTTCAAGCTACATATTGAGAATTATGCTCTCGATCCTGGTTCATACTACAGTGCAGTACAACAACAACTACAACAAAATTACATTTATAGAGCTTCTGTCACGTCGGGAAGGTGTCTCAAAGCGCTGAGGCCCGAGGATCATGGAGAAGTGGTGTAGGGGTGAGGGAAGGCAGAGAGGTGGGAGGGCGACCAAAGACACGATCGAAGAGAAGAGTCTTGAGACTGGCATTGAAGGAGGAAAGGGAGGAAGTGAGGCGAAGGGACCATGGGATGGAGTTCCAGAGTGTGGGGGTAGAGAGGCTGAAAGCCCGGCCACTGATGGTAGGGAGACATGGAGTGGGCCGGAGCCCACTGAACGGAGGGAGTGGGCAGGTTGGTAGGGATCAGCAGGTCAGAGAGGTAGGAGGTGGCAAGGCCATGAATGGCCTTGAAAGTGAGGACGAGGATCTTGAACTCGATCCTCTGGGGGATGGGGAGCCAGTGGAGTCGGGCGAGGGTGGGAGTGATGGGGTCACGGAGCCTGGTGGGTGAGAGTACACGAGCTGCAGAGTTTGGATGATCTGCAGCTTGTGAAGGGAAGAGTTGGGAAGGACGATGAGAAGGGAGTTTCCATAATCGAGCCTTGATGTGACAAATGCGTGGGTGAGGGTTTTGGCAGCCATATCCAGTACTGCTAAACCAAGGAACTATCTTTCTGTTTTGGTGGATACAGATATCTTACATTCTTAAGGATTCAAAAGATGTTTCTCCTGGTGCTGTGGCTAACAATCCTCCAGATTAATTGGTCATTCATCACATACTTGATTATAGGACTTTTTAATGTGCCAAATGACTGTTACATTGCTGGAAACAGTCAATGCAACAAATGTGAAACTTTTTGAGACATTTTGACTCCAAAGGTACTTTAAAAGTGCATGTTCATTCTTTCTTAATGTGTTCCACATCAAAAGAACACTTTATGCAAAATTTCCCCAGTGAAAATCGTTTTACTAATTAGCCCCTAAAACCAAATGTATCCATTTTTGGTAAGATTTTATATTTTTTTCTTATTTTATGGAACATTAACTGATTTGTTCCCAATGTAAGAAAATTATATTTTTTTCTCAAAACAGTTCTCCTTGATGGCCTCCCTTAGCTTAACAGCTATGGACTTCCACATGGACTCAGCCAATTCAGAAATCTGCAGCCGAAATGTTCTCTTGCACTACATTCTGTGTGACCATCATGCCCATCATTGCCAGACTACTTTGGATCCATCACCCAGCATAATATCAATGCAAGATCCACTCCTGTTCTCATTGCCTCAACTCTGCAAATGATAACCCGCCTAATAATAATCCCTCCAAAAACAAAAACAATAATAAATTGGTCATTTTCAATCTACGACTGTTTGTGGGACATTGCTGTGCGCAATTGGCTGCCGCGTTCGCCCACAAATATACAGTCAATTCACTTTACAGTGTGTTCTGTGAAGCGCTTTGGGACGTCCTCCCGACGTGAAAAGCGCTATATCAAATGCAAGGATTATTATTATTATTATTAAATGTCCCTTGCCCCCTTTGTTGGATAGCTGGTTGTGCTCTCAGCCACTGTTCCCCCTGCTCTTTGGCAATCCCTCCAAAAGTTCACCCTCTTGCAAACTCCTACTGAAATCTAGACACTGTACTGCACGAAGAGCACTATTGCAATGCAAGTTGTACTAAAATCTACCTCTTCAATGGTACTTTTGGTCATCTTCCTCACTGCCTCGTCTTCTTCCCACTCTCCTTGGTGGTTCTACACAATGATGTGAAGTGCTTTGGGATGTTATCCTACAAAAAGCGTAAGCGCAAGTTGTTGTTCAAGGCGTGTTTCTCAGCTGCCCCCCAGGGTGGCTTCACATTAATTGCAATGTTTTGAAACCCAACGGACTCTGATTTTGTTTTCCAAGGGGTTGCATGGTATTTGGCCGGAAAAAAACAGGGCACGAGACATATTGGCATCGGATCCATTCCTAACTCTGCCTATTTTTTTCCCCAAATTAGGAGGGTCACCTTTGTCTCACACATTCACGGCTCTCAACCGAGTCTTCGCTCTGGTTATGTTGTTTCTTCAGGGCCGACAAGTCTCAGGTAAGAAAACTGAGCTTCTCGGAGCCTGAGGCAGTTTTACTAAATGTCAGTGTGTGGCTCAGTTGGGAGCACACTTGCCACTGGGGAAGCTGTAGGTTCAAACTCCACTTCGGGAGTGTTGAGTGCTATCCTTAAAAGTGAGACTGTAACCCGGTCCCCCACAGGCCGATGGTGACAACTCCGCGACACCATTTCGAAAAGGAAGTTTCTCCGCTGCCTTTTGGTCCACAGTCCTCCCGCAAAACCGCCCATCAGCCTCACATCTGCCCCGTTGGTGGGTGTTCCCCGGTGAAGCACTCTCGGATGTCTCTCTCGGTGCCCACAGGTCAGGGAGTATCATTTATTATCGCCGCCGACGGGGGAGGGGAGGGGGGATCGTGAAGCTTTCCAGCGGCGGGCGGGTGGGAGGCACACGGCGAGAGGGCTGAGTCGCGAATGGATCGAGGAGGAGCTGACAGGTGGGAGTCAGCGCGCCTTCAGCTCGAAGGGGCGAGAAACAGGAGCAACTGCGCCGAAAAAGGAGAGGGGAGAAAAAAAATACAATGAACCAAAAGAAGCAGAGATTACTGTCCTTGCGTTGGGAAGGCGGTGAAGGCTTATCAAATGCAAGGATTATTATTATTATTATTATTATTAAGGCTGAGTGACGTCTCGGGAAGGACTGAGGGGGGGTTTGTCTCCGTCTCCGCTCGTGGCCTCCAGTCGGCGGTTGGCGGCGGTTGTTTTCAAACGCTCTCCGCTGCCGCGCGCTCCGCCCGCTTCAGCACGTGACCCTCTCGCGGGGCGGGCGGGGGCGGGGCCGGACCTCGGCGGCGGCGCTCCGGCTTCTGGAAACTTCTCGCCGACCCCCGGTACACACAGAGAGACACACACAGAGAGAGAGAGAGACAGCAAAGGGAGGGCGCGGGAGCAGAATGGTTGTGCTACTGAACAGACTTCCTGCCGAAGACTGTCCCAAAGTGAGTAGCGTTACCCTCTGCTGCGCTTTTGCTGTCTTGGTCTCGAATGAACCGGAGGACAGGCGAGGCCGCGCTGGAAGCCTCGACGTTTCCTACGAACTCGGGCGCGGGTCGGAGTTAAAGAGGGAGGAGGTGGGGGTGGGGGGGGGCGGAGCGTGTTTTAAAATCAATGGCGGCGCGGCCGGGTACATACTATAATAATGTGTGTGTGTGTGTGTGTGGTGTGTGGGGGGGGGGGCGCGCTCGAGGCTTTTTGCCTTTCATCGTTTCTGCAGTTCGTTCACAAGGTGATTGATGGCGTCTGTGGACGTGCGCTCCCTCGGTTTCGGGATTACGGCGCTGTGTGGACCCTGACAGAGTGGATGGAGATCCTGGAGGGCACCACGTCATTTCTGAAGCGCGCCGGTGGAAAGCATTTGTCGGACGAGGAGGTGAGTGAGTTAAGTTGCGCGGTCTCTCCAGCGGGTGAGATTGCCCTGAAGGAGGGGACGTGCACGAAAGAGGTGGGGGGGGGTTATTCCGTGTCCATCTGGAGCCATTTCATATGTCTCCCTCTCTCTCTCTCTCTGCCTCTGAAAGAAATGAGCGTAAAAGTGGCCAATAGGACAATTCACCGGGACAGCAGTTCGTTTTTATTTGAACGTGTGTATTCAGCTAAGCCGAGACTTCTTTTCAAGCACTGTGTGGATGGAGATCCTTCAGCAGCTCTCGGTGTTATCCAAACAAACGCCAGTCCGCTCTGTGGATTTTATTATTATTTTACCGGTACAGTTTTTTTCTCTCTCTCTCCCCTTTCCATCCGTTGCACCCCGAAGGGATTTGACGAATGTTCTTCTTCAGGATCGCCCGTGAGTGCACAAGTGGCCATTTGGTTTATGTGGGCGCTCTCAACAATAGTGGTTGCAGGCAATTCAACATCACAGGGGTAAAATTAACAGTCGAGCCTGTTTTTGTTTCAACACAGTGACAACACACCACACTATGCCTTTTCGGAATCAGTTGAGGTCTATAAGAGGAAGTTGCTAAACACTTGGACTTTAGGGATATGGGGAACATGTAGAGAAATGGCATACGAAAGGCAAAGAGAAGGAGCCACGTCATCTTGTACAGTGTACATTTGTGCAAATGACGTGGCTCATTTCATGAGGTAATAAGATGGCAGACCAGGTCCAAATGCCCTCGTCCAGTCTTGTAAATCAGCTTGGCGTCAAGCTCCACCCACTGTTGAGCGCTGAGGTGCTATCTTGCTTGTAGGTGCTATATACATGTAAGTTGCTGTATATTACTGCAGTGAAGCCTCAGTGCAATGTTTTGAGATCCATAAAATTCTTCCCCATATTATAGTGAAGCCCAATAGCAGGTTTTACTATACATGCACACAACTGGCCAGCATGCAACGTGTATGTTGGCCATTTCGTGAGCTAAAGGAATAAAGGCCGACTTTTAGGCCGACAGGTCACCGCAGTTTCTTCCAGTTTTCTTCACATGTTCAAAGTGAAAAATGATGTCGGGGCAACCTGGAGGTTGCTCATCTACTTCAGCTCAACCTCTAGCTACATCCTTGTGGTAGCAGTTATGCTTTTTCTTCAAGGCGGTTCCTTTTCTGATTTTTTTCCATATCATCAATTTCCTTTACAGAAAGTGTATAAAAATTGATGCTCACTTAATATTGCTGCAAGCAATGCAGTATTGTTTCTAGTTTGATTAGTTTCAATTATGTGTTATGTGGCATGGTGATCGGTTGGTAATTCATGCACTTGTAAGACACTTGTGAAACAATTTAAGAAAGGATCCTGAAGCCATTATTGTAAGATAGGATTTATACTTTTAATTCTTTCAAATACATTTGGCTATTAGGAAAGACAAATGGGTGAGGGGCAGTGATTCATTGCACTGTTTACATTACCTCAGAGTGATCCCTTCTTTTCATACGTACCACTGAAGTACATTTTGCCATTCATCTTACATAATAAATTTATTTCAGATTGTGTGCCACAAATTGGACTTATACAACATTTTCAATGCTTCATTCAATTCCCCTTTCCAAGTTGAATTCGGCTCTAAAAGTACAGAACAAATTGGCCATGAATATCCTTGTTCACCTCGAGACTTTCCTTGCATTTCACCAAAAAAAAAATTAAGCTTGTTGTTGAGCATCAGGCACCGGACACCGACAGTTATGCCACACTCATTGATTGTTCAATATTTAGATCTCATCCATTGTTTTTAATCCAAGGTAGTTTCTTATCTTAATTTATACAGTAAAATGTTTACACTCCCCTTCACAAGCTGGATTTTGACTACTGGTTCCAATGGTTTAATGCAGATAGTGCACTTATTTTGTGGAGTCTTCTAGCTCAGTGGTTAGAGCGCTCTTCCCGCAAGCGAGAAACCTGGGTTCGATTTCCGGCAGGGTGAAACCTTGGGCAAGTTTCCTTACTCCACACAGCTGATAAATAATCCCTCAAGAAAAAAAGAATAAATTGGTCGCCTCAATCCACGACTGTTTGTGGAACACTGTTATGCGCAATTGGCTGCCCTGTTTTGCCCACAGATATACAGTCAATTCACTTTATAATATATTCTGTGAAGCGCCTTGAGACGTCTAGAAGATGTGATAATGCAAATAATCAAATAATCAAATGCAAGGATTATTATTATTATACTGCCTGTGAACTTCATTTTGGTCTTTATACCCATTGCTACATTTTCCTGTTCAGTCTATTGATCTTATCTCTCACACGATCTCCAATTTGTCTCTGCCAATGGTTTCTCTTCCAGCCCCCGAACAGTCTTGTGCAGTTTTCCTTGGGGCTCTGTCCTCGGTCCCCTCCTCTTCAACCTCTACATGCTCCCCCTTGTTGACATCATCTGCAAACATGGGTCAACTTCCACATGTATGCGGATGACACCCAACTCTATCTCTCTGCCTCCACCCTCGATTCCAGGACAACTGAGGTCCTGCTAGACTGTCTGTCAGACATGAAGTCCTGAATGAGAGCCAACTTTCTACATCTGAATGTAGGCCCTTCTTATTGGCTCACGCCAGTGCCTCCGCACCTCAGCCACTATCAGCAACCATGGATGTACACTCCACCTCACCAAGTCAGTCAGGAACCTGGGCGCCTTGTCCGACGCTTAACTGTTCTTTCTCTCCCATATCCGTGCCATGACCCGCTCTGCCTTTCGCCATCTCCACAACATTGCCCGACTCCACCACTGCCTCACCCCTCAGGCTGCCGAAACCTTCATACCCGCATTCATCACCTCGAGGCTTGACTACGGAAACTCCCTCCTTATCGGCCTCCCCAAGTTTTCCCTCCACAAACTGCAGATCATCCTGAGATTGGGAACTTGCTAAAGTGGGGATGGAACATTAATATTAACTACATGTTGCATCATAACATCTATAGTCCATCTTTAAAAATTATTTTTCACACATAAATGATTTGTGTGCAAATTAACTAGAGAGTCTCATTCTGTTAATCAAAATAAAAAGCATTTTTATTTATTGAGTCACACAGTTGCATTAGTGCTTCATCCAGCAGCTTGGCTAAAAACTGAAGAATGTAATTCACAACAGTGGCAGATGAGTCAGAGATGGATAATTATGGTGTAAAGTACTTAAATCCATAGTCGTTTAGTAGAAAGATTAATTTAATAAAAAATGTACTATTTGGTCATCCATTGTGTGAACGTCTTAACTTAATGCAGCCACTTAGCTTAAAACATGTTTTCCATATGTTGTGCCTTTATTGTGACTAATAATAATTATTATCCTTGCATTTTATAGCACCTATAACATTTGAATGGTGATCAGCATTTCCCCTCTCTTGCTCACCTTTGACTCTGCAAGATGCCATTTCCAAGATTCCAGACTTTTTTTTATCAATTCTTTGTCTTTTGCGCTATCAAATCCTTTTGCCTTTTTAATAAATGAAAATTGATTTGTTTGAATGTGGAACATCAATGAACAATGAATATCGATGTCTAATTTTTTGCGAATCTACACAACCCCCTATAAGAATAGTCTTCTGTGTTGTGTTAAGATTCTCCAGCTGTTGGATGGACTGGGTTTACCCCACCAGGAAGCAGTCCTAAAATCTTTAAAAGGAAGAAAAGAGGAGCTCCGACAGGCAATGGTTGAGAAGACAAATGATGTGTCCTCTGCTCAATTGCAGGACTTTGATTGGCAACTAAAGGTATATTGTTTTTTTGCTTGACTGGGTTTGATCTCAGCCTCTAAATTTTCTTTCAAATTAAACATTTTCTCCACATTAAATGTATTGTAATGGGAACCCATATAGGCCATAAGCTGTTTGCCATCAAAGATGCCCTATAAACGCAGCAATTGAAAAAGCTAAGTTACAATTTCAAGTGAGACCTTTCATCAGATGTCAGATCAGTTAGATTCACGAAGCTCCTTTAGCATGGAGAAGAATATGTAGGAATAGACCAAGAAAGCAAAAACATTAAGAATAAGTTAAACATTATGCTGTGTAAGTGCAAATTCAAGTCCATGTTGCTTGAATGGAGACATTTGATCTTTTTGATAGTATATTACTATACATTTTTGCATTTAAACATTTCTCAGCTGTTATTTATACTGGATATTTAATTTAAGCATGGATACATGAACACTGCAAAATATTTAGGGATTGGTATTAAACAAAAAATGGGGAAAGGTCAAATGCTTTTCATGACTATTTGGATAAAATTCAAAGTGAGCCTGGAATAAAATCCTTAGTAGATTTAAGCTGGAATTTACCAATTTTTATTCCATTACAGTTACCTTTGTCGAGTGATAAAATTGCTTTTCTTCAAACACCATTGTTAAACCTTGACCTCGATGTCCGGGAGAACGGGATACTGAAACCAGTTTCAATTGAGATGAATAAGGAAGAGCTACAAAACTTAATCCATTCTCTTGAGGCAGCAAACAAGGTATCGTTTTTTTTAATGTCATCTTAACTCTGAATTGGAATATAGTTTATTCAGCCTATCCTTATAGGTCAGTCCCCTCATCCCAGGAACTAACCTAGTGAATCTACGCTGCACCCCCTTTAGGGCAAGTATGTCCTTTTTTTTATTGAACAGTTCAGAGCGTCATTGTACACGGCAAAATTTGTTTACCATTCATTGGTTCTGCAACATTGATGAAAGTTTTGAGACATCTGTATTTCCACAGTAACTTCGTAGCCTTGGCTGCTCTGCATTTCAATAGTTGGTGTGCCACAAATGTTATGTCAGTGAATGTTGAGATTGTGTGTAACAATGCTAACAGGGACATCAGTCAATTAGTTGTGCATTGTTTATAAATCCAGGCTGGAACTTTTCTATTATTTTCTATTCCTGTGAATCATATAACATAGCTTAATTTTTTTGTGATGTGTGATTTGGAACTCATTCTTTGGCTATCTGCCAGCACCATTAGAGAAACTGGTGAATTGAAAAGAATTGAATTTGCAAAAAAATAAATTATTTTAATACTGGCAGCGTATTCTATTTACTTTTGTTTTATTTATTTATTCCACATTAACAAGCACTAACCAAATTTGCTATTTTGACACTTCTGGTTTAACAAGAACATTTTTAATACTGTATTTTATTTGAGGGGCATACTTGAGGACGTAAAGTGATAAGACAAAATGCCAAAGCTTGCTTGTTTAGGTATGAAGTTCATTTAGTTAAATTCATTCATAGATTAATGCAATATGTTTATAGATTATTCAAAATGAAATCTCTTATGCAGAGACTATTACCTCCTTTCACCAGCTTTTTTTCTCTGACAGGTTGTCTTACAACTGAAATGACTGGCCATAAAAGTAATCAACCATATAAATCTGACCTTTCCATGGAGAACTGGACCCAAGGATAGTATGCACTGCACAGAAGGATAGTAAATGCACCATCAAGATCTTGTGAATAAGCAAAAGAAAGCTGAATAAAATTCACAAAACTGCCATCTACTATCATACTGGATGAAATGCAAGAAAATCCTGTTCTTAAAATGTGTGGTTAAATTTTGAAACTAAATGTTGACGAGGTTGCTCATGGACAGCATTTGATTGTATTGTTGGTTTTGTTTATATAAATGTGCCAATGTAATTGAAATATACGGTGGTAAAGTTTTTGTTTCTGTTGTTTCATTAGTGATCTACAGTTTATTTTGATACCATTACTTCGAGATGTGATGAATGACTACTTTGCTTTACACTAGAAAATTATGAGTTGTTTTCTGCCATCCCTTCCTATATTCTATTTAGAAATCATGTGAACCCCTTTTTCACACATAATTTTCATATAAATGCAAGTTGTAGTTGTTTTATATAGGTCAATGTGTGACCTATTATAATGGAGCTGTTTGTTTTTATAGGTAAAGTTGTAGACTTCCACAGGCTTTCGCTCTCTCTCCTTCCGTTACCAAACAATACTTTATAAATGAATTATACAGCTCAACTATTGAGAAAAAAAATTGAGTCCAAGGCAGTTTCATGACATTTTATTTTTAAAGACCGCATTCAAATTCTGTTGCAACAAGTTATAGTTTAGCTTTTCTTCAGTAGTAGTACCAATTGACAGAATAAAGCTACTTACCAAATGATGCATTTGATGTATGATATGGTATGTATGTCTGTTTATATAGGTGTATACATATTTACTGTATTTGCTATATGTGTACTGTGTCAGCCTGGCTCGAGTAGCACACTTAAGTTAGAAGTTTGTGGGTTCAAGCGCCATATCGGGACTTGGAATTGCCTTGTCTAAGCTGACACTCCACTGCAGTGCTGGGTTTGTATTGTATTGTCAGAAGTACAATTCTTTGGATAAGATGCTAAATCGAGGTCCTGTCTGCCTGTTCAGGTGCACGCTAAAGATTCCACGACACTATTTGAAAAGAGAAGGGAATTTCTCCTGGTGTCTTGGTCAAGATTCCCCAAATAAGAACATAAGAAGCAGGAGTAGGCCATTCGGCCTCTCAAGCCTGCCCCGCCATTTAATAAGATCATGGCTGATCTTCTAACCTAATTCCATTTACCTGCCCTATCCCCAAATCCCTTATTTTCTTTAGTTTTTAACAATCTATTGATCTCAGTCTTGAATATGTTCAATGACTGGGTATCCACAGCCTTTTGGGGCAGAGAATTCCATAACTTCACTGCCCTCTGAGTGAAGAAATGTTTTCTGAACTCAGTTCTAAAGGGCTGACCTTTAATCCTGAGACTGACCACTAGTAGTGTGAGCTGGGGAAACATCTCCCCTGTCAAGACCCTTAAGAATCTTATAGGTTTCTATAAGATCCCTCTAATTTTATATTCTAGCGAATATAGGCCTAGTTTACTCAACCTCTCCTTGTAGGTCAACCCCCTCATCCCAGGAACCAACCTAGTGAAACCTACTCTAAGGCGAGTATATCCTTTCTTAGATAAGACGACCAAAATTGCACACAATATTCCAGGTGCTGTCTCACCAAGGCCCTATACAATTGCAGTAAGACTTCTCTATTCTTGTACTCTAACCCCTTTGCAATAAACGCTAACATGCTTTTAGCCTTCCTAATTGCTTGCTGTACCTGCATACATAAAGATAAAATTTGTCACTCACTCCATGGCTGTTTGTGGGACATTACTGTGTAAACTAACTGCTGCGCCTCGCCCACAGTCACTACATTTTATAATATATCCTGTGAAGTGCTTTGAAACATCTGGATGATGTGATAAGGTGCTATATCAAATGCAAAGGTTATCATTTATACTTTATTGTTGCTTCATTCGTCCACATAATAGTCACTGCATTTTACTATATATGCTGTGAAACGTCCTTTCAGACATCCTCTTGACGTGAATGATACTATATCAAATGCAAGCATTATTATTTATTTTTTCATAACATTTTCCATTTTTTACCTATTATAAATTAGAGGTTTCTTCATTTCCATACCTTTATGTTAATAAACACCATGTTTAAACAGTATTTGATATGCTATGTATGCTGCTGTTAATAAACACCATGTTTAAACAGTGTTCAATATGCTATATATCTCTAAATATGTGATTATACTATCATGTTGTTTAATCAGGAGGGCTAAGTTAAATGAAATTAAAGCAGTGCAATCTACATTTGTGTTTGCTTTTGAAAATCTCTGTTTTGTTAAGTACTCCTTTCTCTCTGGATTGTACATTACCTGCATCTGCAATTAGCTGCCACATTTTGCACGCAAAATATACAGTCAATTCACTTTACAGTATATTCCGTGTAGCGCTTTGAGACATCTCAAAGATGTGATCAGATGCTATATCAAATGAAAAAATTAGAATAATAAAATAATAATCCTTGCATTTGATACAGTGCTTTTCATGTCTATATCTGAGAAAGCAGGGAGGCTTTTTCCAGTGTATTCTAAACAATTTGCTTGGAGGCCAGTTTGAGAATGAGTTTTCTCTTTTGGCTTGAACCTGTTCCAATACTTAGCTTTCAATTGCGTTCTTCCATTATTAATAATAATACTTGCATTCTGATATAGCGCTTTTCACGTCTTCTAGACGTCCCAAAGCGCTTCACAGAATATACTGTAAAGTGAATTGACTGTATATTTGTGGGCGAAACGTGGCAGCCAATTGCGCACAGCAGTGTCCCACAAACAGTTGTGGATTGAAGTGACCAATTTTTGGTTTTGGTTTTGGAGGGATTATTAGGTGTGGAGTAAGGAAACTTGCCCAAGGTTTAGCCCTGTCTGGAATTGAACTCAGGTCTCTCACTTGCAAAGCGAATGCTCTAAACCACTGAGCTACATGAATACTGAGATCCGAAACTCCACCTAGTTTTAGCCTGTAAGACCATTTTATCTTACAATTTAAATTAAGCAATTTAATCGCTGACAAATGCATTAGCTAGGTTATTATCGGTTACCTTTGGATTACTCTCAGGACAGATGCAGTTGCAGAATAAAACTTCTTTTTGATCTGCTTTAACAATGTACCTTACCTCCAACCTCATTGCTATCATGAACTTTCTCACTTAGTATATCATGAGTTCTTAATGTACTAAATTAATTAACAGCTTTATGCCATGGTGTGCATTGGCTAAAAAGTAGTTTGCGACTGCACAAATTCACTTAGAATTTTTCCAGCCTATAAGAAGAGGCAATTCAGAATGACAAATTTGTAGGATGCAAACTCAATTTCCAGAAGTTAAGGACAACGTTCTAACCCATTTAAACACTTGTCTCTAAGGCAAAAATTTCAGAAGCTTTGGCAAAGAAGTTTCAGGGTACCATTGTGCAACCTTTTATTTTTCTTGCATGACCTTTCAATCTTTTAAAATAGTTTTTGCTGCACCATAAACCATTGCATAAACAACTCAATCCAATTGACATTATTCTCCTACTTGGGGAAAAAAATCAGTGTGATTTCAGATATTGTTATGACAGCAGGCATTAAATGATAATTAGTTGAATCATTCAGTAATAACTTGCTGTCCTCTTCACAACTCCCCTACTAATTTAGCAATGTGTTTGAATGATTTGCAGTTCTCCGTTGGGGGGAAAAAATAAAATTGTTTTTAAAAATAAAATGGTTATCTAATCCATAATCTCCAATCTGGAGATTGTTAAATTATAATATATCTGAAAAGATTTGTTTTGGCGCAGCTTTCATAAACTAGATACAAATTATAAATACAATAAGCAGAATTATTTAGAAATTAAAATAAAACTAACTCAACCAGAGGAATAATGTGGGGGGAAGAGATGGCTTTTTTTTACAAAAAGATATTCTGAAGGTTAATGTATGAATGCAATAGAATTTACTACATACGTCTGCTTTGATTCATGACCTGTTATTTGATAGGGAATGGAATTTCCTCTTGGATTTTCAATGTAGTTCTGTTTTCAGTCTCCCTTATCATACACCATCCCTGGGCTGATGATGATATTCCTTGCATTTCATACAGCGTCTTGCATTTAAAAGTTCATCAAAGGATATATTGTAAAGTGGTGTGACTATATTTTGTGGGTGAATGCAGCAGCCAATTTGTCCCACAAACAGATATGAAGTGAGTGACCAATTTTATTTAGGGAATTGTTGGCCAGGACACCAGGAGAAACAGGAAATGCTGAAATCCCAGCTGCTATTATGAATATCTAAAACTTAGTTGAATGAAACGATGGAACAAGTGACATTTTCAACCTGATACCTGTGAAAAAAATGCTGGAGAATAGTCCATGGAACAGAGAGATTACAGTAGAAACCCGGTGTGCGGTCACCTCAGCTATCCAGCCACATCACAATTGCGGACACATTTTCACAGTCTCTTTCATTGTCAATGTTAAAAGATAGTCTGTCTGCTTCAGTAAACCGGGCACCTCACTATTCAGGACAACAGTCATTGATTCCAGCCGTTACAGCGCTCTCCTCTTCAAACGCAGTACAAACACCCACCTCTGCTATAGGTTACTGTGTGCTAGGCCTCGGGCTTCTCGCGCTGTTTCCTCAGCACTGCTTCTGTGGGCGGAGTGGGCTCCGGTCGTGCTGGCGCGGGGAGTGTTCAGATTGCAGAAGCGGTGTGAGTGGAAAATCAACTTCGCCCGACTCCTGTGGTCTAACCTGAGCTCCTGCGGCCATTTCTTGGTAAGTGCTGTATTCAGAGCACATGGTTAGTGTGTACATTGTTTTGATTTAGTGACTGTTGATAAGTGTTGTAAACATGCCACCACGAAAGGCGTTGTCTTTACGTGATAGAGTGGCCATAATCAAAAACAGTGAGAGCAAAAGTCATAGATAGTTAGCTGTGATCTATAGCATTGGCAGAACACAAGTTGGACGCATTCTCGAAAGAAAGGCTGAATACATGACAGCTATTGTTTTAAATGTGACCATGCTTTTGATGAGATTGCAAAGTATGGTTGTTGAATGTTCATCACCCTTGCCCTTTACTAATGCCCTTAACATTACATCAGTGACCTGAATCACCCGACCTATTTCAGTAATCAGGTCACCTCACTGAGTAGGTCACTTTTGCCCAGTCACTTGAGTGACCGGAATAGTGAGGTACCACTGAACCTACAATTTTCTTTTCCTTAGCCCACAGTAGCACAGCTGTTTACTTTTCTGACCAACAAACATTTCAACTTTGAAATTAAAGACATAATTTGAGATTGATTAAGAATATTTTAGATTGCTTAACATTCCTTATCATAGAAATTTAGAGTAAAGAAGGACATCCGTCTCATAGAGTCTGCACTACATCTCACAGCAAGGTGTTCATTCAATCCCATTGCCTTACCTTCTCCCTACGCTTCAAGCCTTGAATATACCTGCCTACTTCCCTTTTGAAACCCACAATGGATTCTGCTTCTATCACTTTACTTGACAGGGTGTTCCACATCCCAATGGCATGGGATGTTCGATGATGGTGCATTGGTTTAACATCAGCTGTTTGCAACCCTAATATGTCTGAACTTGGTCCAATGAGAACTTACAGATAAAAGCCAATCTAGAGTGAATATAGCTTGATTTTGTATGTCTAATTTTACCTTACAGCATTTAGCGATTGAAACTTAACGAAAGGCAAATCTATATCGCACATGAAAGAAATGTGGATATT